TCAGATATCTAAGACCGCCAGACGAACCGCCCCGTTCGTGGCGGCAGGAAAAGGGTTGGGTAATGAGCTCCAACGACTAGCTATCAGTGTCGGTGGCTCGGAGGACGTCGCGGCACTGTGCAGCCACGCCCACATGATGAATGTTCTGGTTCATTACCACTCCCGCGCGGGGCACATGGCACTGAGGCTGACCCCGCCAGACGAAGACACCTGAGAATGCGACGGGGCAAAGGTTCGATGTGATCAAAAAAGGTGTTCAGCGTTGCAACCAATACGCGAGACACGGAAAAACAGTCGTATTGTTCATCCTTTGCCCGTTCCTCGTTTGCCTCATTCTAGGACATTCCGATGAACAGCGGAGAAGCGGTGAAGAGCAGCAGCGACATGAAGGCGCAAAGAAATGTGTTGCAGAGTGTGAGAGATTCGTCGCGCATGGTGGTAGTCTACGGAGTGAAAATGAGGGGCTGCACGGCATCGCATCGAGCGAGTGGTAGGGCAGGGGAAGCGGACAGATTGGCGATTGGCGGTTGTAGGTAGGCGAGGTTCAATAGGTACTCTTCGCCGTCAATTCACCCATTGTACGTGCAGGAACAGCAAGTTGAGGGTGTAGTGTAGTGTGTATCCCGCGTACACCAAAGTTGGCATGTATCGTATACCTGTGAGCGACAGATGTAGCGTGCACACACACTTCCGCCGCTGCAAGCACCCGCGCAAGAGGGTCGGCCGTGCACTCCGCCGGCTGACCGACATTGTTGCAACGTTCCCGATCGAGAACGTCTCAGGCGGTATCCGTAGCGCCGCCGTACGATTCCTCCGTCGAGGCTGTTGTGAATCTCAATGGAAAATGCAGCTATTCGCAAAATGAGGCTGCTTGACGATGGAGTCCCCGTTCCTGAATCCACAATGATGAATGCCGAGCGGGTGCGTTTATGTAACAGCGCGTCAGCATCCCAGCTCATGGGAGAGAGTCTAGAGAGCGCGCATAGGTAGTGACCAAACGTCGACCTGCGACGTGAAAGAGCATGCGTCATGACAGAGTTGAAGCATAGCATCGGGGCCGTGGACGTGGGACGATGGAAAAGAGGCCCGGCGTATGGAGCGAAAGAGAGGGCCCGGAGACGACATGGGTTGTCGGTTGGTAGAGTGGATGATGTGGTGCTGCACGTCGGTGCACGATGATATTCCACGCGCGTCTGCCACGATGTAAATGTCCCACGGGGACGGCGGGCGTGGTCTCCTCTGGCCGGTTTACTCTCTCTGTCTTGCCCGCGCCTGCGCACTGGACGGAGGGGAACAGCATGATGGTGGTGAAGATTGAACCAGGTGTGTCCCCGAAGAGGAATAGACCGCTGGCACTGGGGGATGCCATCCACAATTCGGCGTCTGCCCTTTTAGATTGGCAGCCAGGCGGAAGAAAAGAAGGGTGAAGTGGGGGTGAGGTTGTGAAGAATGGCCGTGGGAGGGATCGGCTGGTGGAGGGTCGTTGGCTGTCTGCAGGGATGACGGGCGGAGGGTCAGAGGCAGGATGACATGCCCTCGCATCGACGACGAGGTCTGTTGCGAAGTTGCGCTGTGGTGCTTTCGCTGCGTTCCCAATCAGGTGGCATCGCGGCCCCTCGAGCTGGTGGAGTTATGACATAATTGCTGCTCCGTTTCCGCCCAGGATGCAGCTACAAACCTTGCTCGGATTGGCTCCGTGTCGGCGGAACGCGTTCTTTGGCAATTCGGGCCCCATCTTCATCCTGCTTGATTCGATTCTCTGGTATGTGATATGTGCTGGAAGAAAATGTGCGTTGCCGACATGTTGCATGCATGTAGCAAAAAAGGTGGGAGGAAACAAGGTGATGTGCAATTCGGCCGAGGAGGGAAAGGTAAAGATCTTCTTTGCTATGTTTCGGTACAAGTGACGACGGCACATGGAAGGAAGCAAAGGGATGGTGCCAATGGTCTAATTGGACGATGGAGCGGAGAGGGGCACCTGGAGATTTGGAGGATGATAATGGGAATGCGTGCACGCGCAACAAAAGTATGGGTACCGCACCAAGATCGACGAGCGGAAACCAGCGGGACGAGTCTGTAACTGGTTGACTGGCATGGGGGGAAAGAGCATCTGTACACAGCAGTCACTTCTGTAGATGATCATCGTGACTTCCATTTGGCGTGGCGCTCGGAGAAAGATGGCAGGTTCGACAGAAGCATGTTGAAATACGTGTAGTAAGGTACCTTGGGAAAGGGCACCTGCCTTGAGTCGTAGTACGGAGGACCCAAGGTAAGGTGCCTTAACTGAGGGACGTTTATATTGCAAGAGACATGGATGAACTTGGAGTTGAAGAGGTATCTAGGTAGGCACGAACGGCCGACCCCGCCTCCTGACTCTTTGGGAGTTCCTTTATACTTTGGTCCCTTTCCATGCCTACCTGAAGGACCGGTCAAGACTCACAAAACACTGAAGAAGAAGAAGAAGAAAAACTCTGGATACTATCGATGTCTGCAAGGTAAGGTAGATAATGCCCCAAGGAGCTGTGTCCAGGCTTATACCCAGAATATCGACACGGTTGGGTAATCAAGATGAGAAGGCAGGTTAATTACCACGCCTCGGTGCGGATAAACGGTATTAAGCGCAGGGCACATGTCATGTCGTTGGAGAAGGGTTGGGTTGACCGTTCGTTCTCGAAATAGTAGCGCGCATCTCTTTGGCTCCAGAGTCGGGTCCGAAGGGTTCGCGCGCCGAGTAGAAAGAGGACTTGGTTCAGAGAGAAAACGTGCGCCATTGCAAGTACCTATTTACTTTAAGTGAATAAACGTGGTGGTTGGTGTTGTTTGGCAGCACTTTAGTTTCTTCATTTGGATTTATCATCAACGTGCTTTTACCCAAGTTGCCTAGTCAGAGTCGAAGCAATGTGCTATTTTAGTCCGGTCAAAGTCTCGTTTGAGGCGCAAAACATGTCTATCTGAGTTGGGCATCGGCCTGGACAAACGTTTCATCCAGAACATGTTCCTCAGCCCTTTAGAATGTTGGTCCTATTACCCCAGGTTTTGAATTCTGGTTTTGGGTAAGGTGTCGATTCTTCAGCCCAGTTTCTAAAAACGCAGTGGCAAACATTCAATCTAACCCTTGGAAACTGGCGAAACGCTTAGAGGGATGATCTGGGGGAAGACAGAAACCAGAAGGTTAAAGTTGCCTCGACGTTACTGCACTGCCTGTTCTCACTAACGGCCGGTATTCACTATGGTGGCCCTTAGTGTTCCCGCAGTATGAATCAACAACGTACCTACGGATAGATGAGGCTCATATATCTGATGTCGAATTACAAGCGGCCATAGTCGCGAAGAGACAGAGTCATGGATTCGGACTGATTGAGGGACCACCTTTTTCTTCTTTCGGGTGGTGATAGCAGCCGTTGAATATCGCTATATCATTGTTGAGGAGATGCAACCGCGAAGAAGGAACGCCTTTCTGTGCTGGCCCGATATTCCCTGCCTTCCCTGTTGCGTTCTGCTCCTCAAGAGGTGGAGGCCCCTACTCCGTAAAGTACCGGTACCAAGACAGGCAAGTTCATAGTGCAAGACGCTAAGTCTGACGAGCGCAGTGCACGGACATGGCCACAATCCTAGCCAGTGAGATTTGTTTGCGCATGAGAGCGAGATGCATCTTTTGCCCATTGCTCGAAAGAGGAAGGCGCCACCCACCTTGTTGTGCTTGTATCCGTATGTACACTCGCAAGTACAAAGTACCCTTGACACTTCTCAAAAAGACGATGGAGGGTCCTCGAGTGGGGTGGCTTGCAGGGTGCCATATTGCCCGGGATCCCTTAGCGCACGACATGGGATGACCGTGTTGGGGGGGGCTTCCAGTGGACCGCCAGGCGAAACAGGCGATGAAAAGACGAGATTGACCTCTCCGCCACGATCCAGTGTCGCCGTGACCATCCATGCGCTTCATTGGATCTCTTGAGCCGCTGCAATCTTACTATGCTTTTCTTTTGCAGTCGCCAACTCGAGCTATTGAATCGTCCTTCATGGCAATATCAACTACCATACCGAGTATATGCCTTGACGATGTTGGTGCCCATGTCGTCTCCAGGCTAAAACTACCGAGTACGAAGTATTGTTCCATAGCAATGGTATGGTATAAACGCCCCGCGACGTTACCTTGTGCATTCGCCAAAAGTAATGCCGCATCGCAACTTCGCAACCCTCGCGCCGCGTCTTGTCGCGTCAAACATTGACGATCACGACAACACCTCAAAGGCAGATATATTGACACGGCATCAAGTTGCAGCAGATCGCGTTGCCAACGTGGACTTTATCCGTCAGAAAACAATGGCGTAATCAGTCCATTTTACAACGGGCAACGGCATTATAGCTTAATGTCCTTTGCATGACGAGTCGGCCATGTTCGCTGGAATGCGTTATCAACGGCCCGTGGTCTTGCTGGGCTTGGCTTCTCCTGGCAGTTGGCAACCGCCTTCAGACGACCCCGCGGAGACAACAGCCTGATAAGAAGCGCAGCCGATTGCCACTACTCCATACAGCACAAATTGACAAGTTGGACGGGAAACCCGTCAACAAAAACAACCACCTTCCATGGTGTAAACAAAAGAATACCATGGCAATTGGCGGTTGGACCGATTTTGGAGATCCTTGATGCTAGTTCGCATGAACAAAATGAGGTGGAAATGCGCACCAGCCGGACCCGAGGCCGGCAAGTTGGGGAAGCGAATTGGCTCCTGCTCTAGAGGTTGGAGGCGCAATGCTCACACTCGTCCGGTCATCCCAATGCGCTGGATCCGGATGGGGTCGCGATGATGTGATTGTCTCGTGTGCCAGGAATGCGACTGCCAGAGAGTCCCGATACTCTTGGTGCTTGTTGATCGTGATGAACTCCTTTGACGAATTCCAGAGGTGCAGACATACCGAGGAAGACTCGAATAAGACTCGCCCGTTCATGGTGGGGACATGGCCGACGATTTGATATTATTCGGGGGCAGAGACATACCATGCCTTTTCCTTTTCTTCGTGCTACCTCCACTACCCGTATTGACGAGGTGCTGCTCGTCGCTTGTCACACGTTTGGGGCCAAGCGCAAGCCCCAGCCGCAAGCCAGGATCACTTCGTCGGCGGACCCCTCCTTACACACCCCAGACGAGCTCCGAAATCTCGGCGACAAACGGGCGAGAGGTCTGGAGTGTGCTTGTATAGAGTACGAAGCACCATTGGACAGTTTCTTTGCCTCGCGCCCGTCAGCCGTCAGTCTCACTTTGGCCGGTGACCGACAGACTGCAGCGAACAATCGTGTCTATTCGCAGGTGTTCCATTCCGGCTGATGGCGACGGGTGTCATCTGACCGCCGCTGCCGCACGCCCGCCCGTTGGTCGCCCGGTAACCGATGGCGAGACAAGCAACGGAGAAGATGGTATCGGAGGCGCAAGACGATGGATGTTTTGACTGCTTTGATGTGTGCTGCCACGGAGAATTAAATGATGGGAAAAGAGAAGGAAGGGTGACTGAAAAAAACAAGGGTGTCTACTGCGAAGCCACTACTCAGGCTTGTCAGGGCCGGGCAGAGGTGGGAGATGATGGAGCGACCGTGCGCCGGACAGCTCGACGGATTGGACGCCTAATGTACATAACTATCTGTCTGGAGCTGAGCAGTATCTGCGATACTAGATACGGGACCCACGTGCATGTCATCTTAGGTTCTCGTAGTCGTAAGTCATGGAGAAAATCGCGTACGGATAGTACGCAGTACGGAACAAGGCATGTAAGAAATAGGGGACGAGGAGAACGGGGCTCGTCGGAGGGTCGGGCGGCGTGGAGACGGCGGCATTGGTGACCGAGTCGCAACAGAAGAGATGGCCGGTTCGAGTCGTAGTCGTGGTCGAGGAGGATATGATGAGGTTCCGGGGGTGTGGGTTGGTTGCATTGGGAGAAGCATCGGCAAGGTGCCAAAGGCACGGAGACCGGAGGAGCCCAGGACAAAGAGAAAGAGAGCGAGAGGTAAAAAAAAAAAAGAAAGAAAGAAAAAAAAAAGATCATGGGCCAGAATTCACACGAAATCAGTCAGTCAACTGAGGTGCAACTGCACCCTGTCGCTGCATGCTGCGCTTGCGATGCACGTCTTAAAACTGAAGGTGCAAGTCAAACAGACGTGCAGCGCAGCAGGCAGTCGCGGCGGCAGGGAAAGAATGTGATGAGCAGAGTTTAGAGACAACCAGAAACACACGGAGGCATCGACTTGCAGGCCGGGCTGCACGTCTCTGCAAGTCTACTCTGCAAGATGCAAGCTGCAACGAGCGAGAGAGAGAATGGAGGAAGAGAGTCAGTATCGAGTATTTGAAAATGGTATTAGCTAAGCCAGGTTGCAATTATCATCTGTGGTGCGAGGCAGGCGTGATTACTGCGTGAGGTAGGTAGGTGAGGTAGGCTGAGGATAGACAGGAGGCAGGTGCAGGCATCGTGAGTTCCTCTTGTTTCCTGCCTCACCTGCCACGCCAACGGTTGAGTTGAGTGAGACGAGGAAGGAGGAGGGATCGAAAAAAAAAATGGCAGTTGCAGTTGCAGTCGAAATGGAAATGGCGCTCCAGCTTGTACCGGGTACTTTGGTCTGCTTTGAGTGAATGACCCGCCGCCACAAACCAGGGATGACCCCAGCTTCCAATCACTCCCACCCTGTCTCCTTCTCATCCAGTCTCTGCCTCTGGCGAGCGTTTCCCTCTCATCGTCCACCACCATCCACAACCAACCGTCGTCTTCTTGACCCAGCTCTCTCACTCCATGTTGCTCGCTGCTGCCGCTGGCGAACCCTCCTTGGCGCCTCTTGTGGCAGGGTGCGGGCTGCATGGTCGACTAAGAGAGAAAATGAGCGGTGCTAAGTTGAACATGGGCGTTCTCGGGTGCTGGGGGGATAGTATGCTAAGGTAAGGAAAGCAGTCGTACTCCGTAGTCTTGGACGATCAGGGTGTCCTTGGAGTCTGTGGGTTTTCTATCTCCTCCATGTTCAGATACTTGCAATGGCATGTTGCTGGATCATCAGTCTCCAGTTTCCAGTATCTGTATCCACCTTTGAAAAGTGGGAGACTGAGATGGGTCCTCGGGTCCCCTGTCGATATTCGAACGAGCATGTCCTGGTCAAGGGTCACCCGTCAGGGAAGGCTGGCTGCTGGTCCTCTGTTCGCTGCATCTGGTGGATTGAGGGTGTGGGTGCGGGTGGGTTGATTCGACCGTGGGCTGTCTGAGTACGTACCGGCTCTATGAACATCCATGTACACTACCTTGTACCTAAATCTACCAGGTATCTAGGTAGGTATCCAAGGACCAGAGGGAAGGAAAGAGTCTCGTACCGCCTACCGCTCTAACCCGCGCACCACACCTCTCGGTTCTCTCTCTCTCTCTCCCACTCCCACTCCCACCGATACCTGTTACCTTCCCTCCTAGCACCGCTACCACCACCACCACCACCATCAGCGGCCTGGGTTGGCGACCATTTGTTATTATTAAACCCGGACCCCGTCCGACCACCCCCTTCCATCTAAGAAAGACCCTTCTCGGTCTCCCTCACACTCCTTTCTCTGTGTCGTGCAGAGTTGTCGTGAGGAGTTTGGAAATAGCTTCCTCGACCTCGAATCACAATTCCGAATACCCTCAACCTCCTCCTTATCCTCCAGACCCGACTTCGACTCTCCTCTGTCTTCCTACGAGGAGCCCTCCGAAATCTACATCCCGAGAAAAGAGAGCCACTGTCCCCGGTGAGCTATCTCTATCTCGCTTCACGTCAGAAACACCAAGGAGAAAAAAAACTGTGAGTGCCCTCTGTTTGGCCACCCTTCAGGAGAACAACAACACCAGGAAACCAGTGCCATGGTTCTTGACCGCTGCCTTTTGCCTATTGCCCAGCTTGTTGCCTCGTTTTTGTGACTCCTCACTACACTGCCTGCTTATCTTGCCGCCTCGTCAGAGGAGAGGAAACGAGAAGGGGAAATCTCTGCCTCGCACACTGCACTTTGCATCCTGCACCACCCACTTGCTTTGCTGTTGGCTGTCATATTCACTGTCTGCCTGTGTTTGCCTTTGCCTGTATCATCTGTCACTCACCACCGTCGGCCGCCCCGTGTTCTCGAGAGTTGGCAACACCACTTCACATTCCCCTCGTTGTCCTCGGCGTCTTGTACTTCCCCCCTCAAAATTCCAGCGTTGTGAGACAAGGCCGCTCCTGCAGCATCTGCAACGGGGATACATCGCTCGTGGTCCCTCTCACGAGCCTCCTCATCTTTTCCGACTGTGCTGCCTGCGCAGAGTGTCGCAACGGCGCTTCTTGTTCTCCTCGACTTCTCACTCCGATTTTCCCACTCTCGCCTGCTTGAAAAGCACTCAGCCACGCATCAACAACATACTAACCCTCCTCGTACAGCCTGCGGTGTAACCGGTCACGACTGGCCTCCATCGTCCGACTTGCCAGCAATATCTGGTTTTATAGACGAACGATACCTTCTACGACCATATTAGGCGCCGATACTCGCCGTTTCCCTCCTTTCCGACCCCCAAGATACCCATACCCTGTACTCCGTCTGCCCCTGATGCGTCCTTGATCATGGATTCGGAAGACGGGGAGTTGTTCATAAAGGTACGCTACTACGGAAGAGCCATATTCTCATGCCTTTGCCGATAGGCTTTGCTGCCTGGTCTGATGTGCTGCTTGTGCTAACATCGTCGTCTACAGCAACTGGCCAGCTTTGTGCGCACGCACGAAAAGGCTCTCGCCAACGCCTTGCAATTCCGAAGACAGGCTGCCTCTCGCCATGGCTCCTCTCAGAGCGTCAGCTCCATTCCCACGCCTCAATCACCGGTCGTTCCCGAGAGGCCCTCGACTTCGGCCTCGACTTCGAGCGGACTCGCATCCGCTCTTTCTCTCGGTTCTCTCAACTTCACCTCGCACACTGTCAAGTCGGCGAAGCTAGCCTTGACGCCGCACCATCTGTTTTACCTACTATCTCGATTCGAAGAACTCGCCATTCCCGTTGGCCCCATGAAGATTCGTCTCGAGAACCTACACGATAGCTCAACATCCGCCAACTATGTCTCCTTTTTGAGCAACACCCAAAGATCCCGAAGCCGCGGCTCCGATGTTGGTTCTATCCATTCCGTATCCAGCGTTCGAAGCGTCATGTCAGGCATGTCGGCACTTTGGACGAGTTTTGGCATCGGCGCGAGCATTTCGGCCGCCCGAACCGAGCGGCAGAAGGCGGCCACGCAGGCTGACTTAAAATACCTCTACTCGGCCTTCACCAAAATTCCTTGCCTTCGCCTTGCCCCCGACTGGCGCGCCCGGCTGATCCGCGGCTACGAAGAGTTCCCATTCGACTCAGCAGTACCGCTATACGTCTTCAAGAATGTCCAGGCCCTCGAGGTGAACAGCATCGACTTCCGACAATTCTTCGGGTGGGACCGCATGGCCGAGCAGCTGAGATCGCTGACGCTGAAGCGCGCTGGTGTTGAGGACCCTGCGGATATCCTAATTGACATTGTGCTTGATGATATGGACAAGCGACGGAGAAGGACGTCGAAGCAACAATCATCGCCCACTACCCCTTGGCCCGCAAGTTCCAGCCCTCGCAGAAGTCCCACCATTCCTCACGCTGAACTTCACAAGTCACCCTCAATGCCGGGCTCACCAGACCCGCGCAATTCGATTGGTGACCTGGGCATTGGTTCTCTAAGCACGCAAGACCATGCTGTGGATGATGTTCACGGTGAAGGCAGACGGCCATCTCTGGCTCGGGCGGAAACGTTCGAGGCTATGTCGCCTCCAAAGGGATCAAGACCACGTAGCAATTCGCCTACTCGCCCAGTCAGCTCCCGCAACCCCTCCCACATGAGAGGAGGCCACAAGGTTCGTCGCTCCGGCTCTGGCAGCTCGCACTCGAGTCTTTCGGACTCGTGGCACCACAGCCGCGCCAACAGCTCCTCGAATCTTCTGAGCATGGGTGTTCTTCCAGCATCAAAGTGGCGGTTCTTGAAGCACCTCAGTCTGGCCGACAACTCCATGACCTCCATCCCTGCCACCAGCTTGGTTCCCCTCGCAAACACCCTTCACTCCCTGGACTTGTCATCCAATCTGTTCACTCAGATCCCCGACAGTCTGGCTACCCTTACCGCACTTCGCGCACTTAACCTCTCACACTGCATGATCGATGGGCTCCACTCCCTGACGCGCAATCCCCTCCCGGCCATCTCGGCTCTTAACCTCCGCGCCAACCGCCTGCAATCAATCGCCGGCATTGAGAAGCTCTATCCTCTCGAGCGATTGGACCTTCGCGACAACCGTCTATCAGACCCTATGGAGCTGGCCAGACTCACTGGAATCCCTGACATCCGGGAGATCTGGGTTGAGGGCAACCCCTTCACCCGCACCCACAAGGATTACCGCATCACAATTTTCAACCTCTTCCGCAAGACCCCGGGCTACACCGAGGACGTTGTCATTGACAACTGCGGTCCCACGTATTCGGAGAGGAGGTACTTGGTGGAGCGTACTCCGGTGCCCGCCGCCGTGCCCGTCGTAAAGCCCGCTCCCGCCGACATCCCGGCTGTTGACGTCAGCAAGCCAGCCATCATCTACGACATCCCCAAGGAGCCCTCAGTTCTCCGCAAGGAGCGCCCAGTCCCCAAAGCTGTTACCAGCGAGGTGAACACTAGCTCTACTCGCCGCCGCAAAACACCCAAGAGACGGATAGTAGACCTTTCTACCGCGGATGCCTCTGTGACGGTGACTCCTGGTATCGTGCCGTCACCCCCTGCGAACATCAAGGTGCTCGCCTCCGATGCCACAGCCACCGCAGTCGGCCCAGACACCAACAACTACCGTATTTCACAGGCCCCTGAGATTCCTCTATTTCCCTCTGCCATTCTGGCCGACAATCGAAAGGCCGACTCCCAACCTGAAGTTCCCCGCATAGACACTAGCGTGGTTCCCGAACTTCCCCCCATCTACACAACCCGCGATGCTCCGCCAGACTCCCAGGACTGGGATGTTAGCGGGGAAATGTACCGCCGTAAGATCGAGGCATTGCGGGACAAGGTTGGGAATGGCTACCTCAGTGTGCTCAGTGAGGAGGGCTGGGATCCCTCTCGCCCGCCAACATACTTGGTGCCAGACTTCAGCCCAGCCTCGACAGTTCGGCCCAGTCCTACTACCCCTCGGACTAACTCCCATCACCACCCTGCGGCCATTCACAGTGGCCGCACCCTTGGCTAAAGGAAAAAAAAAAACTTGCCCTTTCTACATGATACCCTTCATGATACCCCCACCCCCCTCTTGAGGTTCGATTCTACTGTTGGGCTGCTTTCTTGAATTCTCCTTCTGCAGCATTGCACATGGCATTGCCACGAGCATGGCCGTTGGCTTCGCCTCCAACCATTGTGTTATTCGTCATTATTTTCCAGCATGGTAGAGCATAGCGTACAAGGCGTTTTGGTTTTGGCGGTCAACTGGTTTCAGTCTCCGCATTTATCTCTTGCACCGCCTGAGGTGGTAGAAGGCCACAGTAGATCTTGTCGCTTTCCCGTCTGTTTGGTTTCTTGGCGCGATCTCAACACAGAGGTCTCTCTCGGGCATCACTGGGATGGGAGGGATAAAAAGCGAGTGACATTGGGCGCGAAGGCATCTTCTTTCTTCTCTTCTCAAGACTTGTTTACCTTTCATATTGCAGGCTTCAATTTGGCGTTGGCGGAACTACATGTCGAGTGGCTTTAGTCATTTCTGGTTTCATGGGCACGAAAAAAATCCCGCATGAGTTGCATTGTGTGTTTGGTTATGGTAGATGAATACTTGTCCATAAGACAAGCTGGTGGATGGCTTCTAATACATGATGAAACGCATACCTCATTGGCCATGCTTCCTTCGCTGTGCCTTGCAATGTGATGTATCTGTGGCACGTTCATTGTTATTGGCGGACCAACCTAGTCTGCTCGATCTGAAAGAGAGTGGCCTCTAATGACTGAAGCCCCATACTTAACTGTCGTATATGCTGTCTCGGGTAATGTTTTCATTGAAGACTGTGGCCAGCGTTCCCGTCAAGCCAACTGACTGTAGAGAAGTGGCCGCTCAAAAGTAAAAGGGCAGACTCAGATGATACAGAACTCAGTGAAATCATTTACAGATATGGATCGCCATAGGAGGGGGCTTCTGCATGGATTACCTTTCAGCCGCAACTCGAGAGGAAACGATTGTGTTTACATGCAAGGAAATTGATGAGCCATTCTCGAGGAGAAGAGATATTTCAGAGTAGAGTGGATAGTGTTGCGCTCCTTACCTGGGTAAAGGCAAGGCGTAATTCGCGTGCATCTGAATCCCGACGTTGTGTTCGGGCTCTCACTTGAGAGCCGCTTGGGCGAGTGCTTTGGTAGCTATTGTGGTCTTCTGACCTTGTCTCCGAGGTAGAGTCTGTTTTCCGGATCCTGTCACTCCTTTTTTCTTTTCTTGATACTTCAGGTGTCGTCAGCTTCGCGGAATATTCTGTAGAAATACCTGAGAGATATGTTACGAGGTTTGTAGCAGTCAAGGTGTCTTCCAGCTCTTGTAGATGATGGGGGGGGGGGGGGGGGGGGCAGACTGATGACCCTGCGCTGAAAGTTCGATTACCATCTAGAACAAAGGCTGGATTTAAGCCTTCGTATTTGGGTTCATAGGATACTTGGCTTTCCTGATTTCATGCCATTCCAACGTCTTCGTGGAGATGTGTTTCGAGAATCGGGCTAGTAAGGGTAATATGGCGATTATGGGTGACTGCATTGATTCTTAGCGAACCTCTTGTCAGGGTATTGAAGAACTTTATGGGTGCGATCCTTGGTTGGCAACTGGCCTGCCTAGCCTCGTGCCCTCTGGTAGTCTGACTTCCAGACCTTGAAGTCAAGTCAAGACCGATTGAACGCACGCTTTCTCCAGGGACCTACCTGCAGGCCGATATCCGGGTGCGAGTACCGGAATAGAGGGGATCGATGAGCCAAAATGAGGCCCTGTCGTGATGTATATTTCTCTCGGAGTAGAGCTGTCTCATCATCAGAGACAGCGTTCGCTTCCGTCGCAGCTCCGATGAAGTATGCTCCATTACAATCCACCAAGGCTGCGTTTAGCACTGCTGAAGCTCAAAGTCCCAACCCGCAAGACTTCGCATCCAGATAAGGCGTTCAGATGCCTTTCCTCGACGATAATCGCTGCCGGTAACAAAGAGCCTGGCCAAAACAAAACAAGACAATCTATGAATAGGTCGGACCATCTTCTATAAGCTCGTTGTAACCATCGGCTTTAGACGTCAATAACTTGGAGAGCGGAGATACTCTTCTCTACCGGAGGGCTGTTTTCTTCTCAACTCCATTTCAATCGTCACCTAGAGCGGCACTGCGTCTATTCACGTGGGACACAATGAGCTACAGAGAGTCAAATTCTTTGTTCCCATCTCATCTCGACATAAGTCCAAAGAGTCAGGTGTTGATCCATGTCTGCGGGACTTTCCTATCAAAGCGTTGCAAAGCGCGGCGGGAACCCACGACACAGTACCGCATCTAAAGCTTACCTAGGCTTCGCTATCGGGTATCTTCTGCGTTCTGTTCCGGTCGACTGTGGTAAGGATGGTGGGCATGGGAGCATTACGGCTGCGAGAGATGGGTGGCCTGTACGAGGTGGCGGCTAGCACTGCTAGCCTATACTGGAGTTGTTTCGATCTGGGTAGCCGGGGCGGGTGCCGTTCTTCCAAGACAGGATATCAACTTCATCGAGGCTTAGAATGTAGTGCTACAAGAGCTGTGGGCAACAGATATGTCCCTGAAAAACTTACCGAAGCCGGTGAGATCGGACCCAAAGTCAAACAGCCATGACTTGTGTCAGAGGAAGAAGCCCTTACTGTTTACTTGTCAGAGCGCAATTTCTCTAAGTGGGCTGTGGTTGGGATCGCCGCGGCTGAAGGATTGAGTCCTTAGATCTTTCGATAATGAATCTTCCTCGATTTGAGCTCAAAAAAATACCCACACGAAGGTGAAGGTGCGCCTGTCCGAGTATGCTAATGATGCAGCAAGAAAGCCTTTCATCTCGGAGATAGCTTCGAACCAATGAGAGAGATCTAATTACAACCCTTGGAATCCCTAGCAGCGTTTTGAACACATAAATACATGTCAGAGAGGTATTGCCGAGAAAGAACAGAAACTATAAGACACGAGAGAAGCAAGGCTTGGGTCCATTCGAGGGCCGATTGAATGCCGATGAGCTACAGTCTGGACCCCGTATGATGAAGCTTTGTCGTTGAATTGTTCTCATGCATTCTCTCCGAACCTTGTCATAATGCGAGAGATCGTTCCACACGCACTTAGAGCCATGAATATGGCACAATCCCTGCCAGAGTCTTGTAATGAAGACTAGAAGCTGTATCGTACCCAGGAAACTGTGTCCAGGGTGTCGTGGCGAAGAGTGAAATGCTGTCATCGGCCAGGGCCTGTGGGAATTCTGGTGATGAACCCGAAAAGGGACGCAAGGTTGGAATGCTGCAGAGGATGTAAACCGACGGCCGGTGGCACAGATTTGTTAGTTACATCCATATGCTAGAGAAACATTTGCTGGGCAGCTATGGTGTGACTAGGACTGAGAGGGCAATTAACTACGTGAAGTTCAGTCTAGACAAGTCTTGTTGCTCATATGCCTTTATACTATATGCGAACATGTTGTATCCAAGCGGGAATCTCGTCTCATCAAGACCTTGACAGTCTCAATGCATGTGCTGTAGCTCGGAAGGGCCTGCTCTTCTCATGACCGGTTCAGTTTCGAGTCACATCTGAAAGCAGAAAGGCTTATTGGATCTCCTGGTATCATCCACTGTAAGTTGTAGGTCAGATACTAAACTATAATCTGTCTGCAGATTGCGAGCTAATGCCCCTTTGTGGTAATGCGGACAATCATGGGAACCATGCCGTACGCGGGTCACATTGACCACATTTTCTGTATTTCAGGCCTCATTCCCTCACGATGCAAAGAAGATGTCAAACGGAATATGACTGATGGGACCAGAAGCGCTATCTTTTGCTATGCCGTGGCTAGCGATCGAAACATTCCTGCAGCCTTCATGAGTGGATGGTCTACCGTGGGAAGCATCTGGAGACCATTTTTCAACAGATGACAGTATATGTATAGTAATCTGGATGTGCGATGAACTCGGAAGACCAAGGCTGGAAGAACTGGTGGCAGCTACGTTTGACCTGACTGGGGAGGACCGTTGTAGGAGAATGATCCACGTCAGGACTAGACTAGCAAAGCGAACGTCGTCGAGCACACTACGCGTTGTGCAAGCTCGAGACAATATAGACATAATTGGGCGCGAGTTTTGCTCAGACCTGCCATAGAGAGGACCTGGAGAAAACAGGGCGGCCGGCTCGACATAAGAGAGCCGTCTACTTGGTTTTAAGTAGCGATATTCGCAATTTGGCCTAAATCGTCTCAGTACATCCCTTTTAGCAGGTATTCCACCATGGTCTTGTTAATGGGATCACCACATGACACATGGAATATCAGGGCTACTACAGCGTTGCGAGTGGTAAGCAGCAAATGATAGGCTGAATCTTCTCATGCTGGAGTCTATGCCGATCTAAAAAATGAGGGCTCTGTAATCGAGTGGTAAGTTGAGAAAGAAAAGGCCAGGCGCGAATGGCAAAAGCTACTGCAGTCGACTGAATCCCTAGCTGTTATTGACGAAATGCGAAATGTGTACGATAACCTAGAGATTTGAAGATCAGAGTGGGCAGTGGAAATGCTCCCAGACGGTCGGGTCTGGGTAAAGCCAACTGTCACCGGAAACGGCAATTCAATGACGATGATGGAAGGTCTGTGAGTGCGCTATCCGACCAAGACCATTTGCGGTGAAGAACTCTTGTGCAGATCCAGCTATGTCCAGGATGCGAAAATCCGCAGCACCTGCAGCGCCATGTGCTGCGCTGTGACGGGTAAGTCTGTGTTGTGGCAACCTGCCCAGATCAAACATCGCTCGGCCTTCTGCCATCTTATAAAGATGAACGCTCACTGGATAAGGTTCAATTAGACAAGTTGAGATGAGGAGGCTGCTGCTGCAGGGGAATCAGAATGAGTAAGGCATCTGGGTGTGTAATAAGTATTTATGAGTACGGGGTTTGGATTTCAAGTACTGTACTGAATGGCGTGCGAATGAACGGTGTTGTGTTGCGATTCATGTTTGACTTTGAAGAGTGCACTATCCGATGATGCGACGATGCAGGTGTGGATTTCCGTAATGAGACCAGTAGCCACGAGTTCAAAAGGGCGCATTTAAGGGCGCGGGGGAAATGAGAAAAGAATCAGTCCTCGGGGCCGATTGCGACTGCATCGGAGCGGGGGTTTGTACTGGATGAGCATCCATTTGTGTCAGTGCCGGGCCGGACTTGGCTCCGTCGCAGTTCCTTCCGACCCGGCTTTGGTTCCGGAAGGCAGGAAGGGCGGCGCCGGTCTGGTTGCAGAAGGAGCAAGGAGCATTCTGCAACAGGAAAAGACATTGGAAGGAGGCACCGAGAATGGCACACGTAGCTCTGCTCATACCTTGCCAACTGTTCCTCTTTTGGGTATCCGTGTCTACCTTGGTAACTTCCAGGTTGCAATCAACAACCTTCTTCGCTGCATCTCCCAACCAAGCAATCGAGATGCTCCGTTGTGGCATTTCCTACCCGTTACATCGTCCGTGTTATGCAATATCGTTCGCCACCATC